CAAGGTCATGGGTGTGTTCTTGTTCCCATGCTAAATCAGTTTTATCTTTTATACACAGACATGCACACATACACACAATAATGCACACGGTGCAGAAAACCGATGACCTAATAAATACACGTACTGTGAAAATTGTACCACAGTAACTTTGGAGTACTGCTCAGAAAAAGTAGTAATACTGAAATCACATTACAGTAATGCTGAAAGAATTACACAACACTTGCATTCAAAGTCAGAATAATTTATAATCTAACTGAAAATAATACTAATATAATAATCTTTATTTGTAGAGCACTTTTCAAAAACAAGTTACAAAGTGCTTTAACAAGTGTAAAGACAATAATACCCCAAAAACAATAATACAAAAACAATACAAGATAAAAGCAAGAAAACATTGAAAAGACTAAAATACATGTTTAAGATAAATATAAAATAAGTAAAATAGAATGAAATAAAAGGGATAAAATAAAGTAAAATAAGACCGGGAAAGGCTCTCCTATAAAAGTATGTTTTAAGAAGGGACTTAAAAGAGTTCACTGACTCAGCCGACCTGATTTCCTCGGGCAGGCTGTTCCAGAGCCTCGGGGCCCTGACAGCAAACGCTCTGTCCCCTTTAGTTTTCTGTCGAGACTCTGGAACAGACAACAAACCTCTGCCCGAGGATCTCGAGGTACGTGCTGGTGTGTATGGGACTAAAAGTTCAGAAATATAACAAGGCGAGAGGCCATGAAGAGCTTTAAAAGTGATCAATAAAATTTTAAAGTCAATTCTAAAACACACTGGGAGCCAGTGTAATGAAGCTAAAATAGGGGTGATGTGGTCATATTTCTTTGTTCTGGTTAAAAGCCCGGCAGCTGAGTTCTGGACAGTCTGGAGTCGATCAATAGATTTTTGGGTTAAACAGGTGAAAAGGCTGTTGCAATAATCCAGGAGTGATGAGATGAAGGCGTGTAAAATGGTCTCAGTGTCCTTAAAAGTTAACAGATCGAATTTTTGCTATATTTCTAAGTTGATAAAAACATGATTGAACAAGCTTTGTGCTGTGCTGCTCGAAATTTAAATTACTATCAAACCAAACACCAAGGTTCTTTGCCACAGGCTTAATGTGATTTACTAGGGAACCAGCAGATGGCAGTATTTGATTTGCCATCTGCTGGGACCCAATGACCAGGATTTCTGTTTTGTCTGAGTTCAGCTAGAGGAAATTATTTGACATCCATTTTTTAACTTCACAAAGGCAGTTGTTAGGTGAACTCAGCATTCCAGGGTCTGTGGATCTGACGGGCAAGTATATTTGTGTGTCATCAGCATAAATATGAAAAGAAATGCCATGTTTATGGATAATATGTCCAAGGGGAAGCAGATACAAGGAAAACAAAATGGGTCCTAAGACCGACCCCTGAGGCACACCATATTTAACTGGACAGAACGAAGAGACATAGTTGTTTACAGACACGCAAAACTTTTATTTTTATCATTATTATTCATTTATTTGACAGGTAGGATGAAAACCATTCTAGGGCAGGACCAGAGATCCCCACCCAGTGCCTCAGTCTGTCTAACATGATGTTGTGATCAATGGTGTCAAAAGCAGCGCTAAGGTCCAGGAGTACAAGGACTGAGCACATACCTTCATCAGCAGACATTAAAAGGTCATTGGTGACTTTAAGCAGGGCAGTCTCAGTGCTGTGGTACTTCCTGAAACCAGACTGAAACTTTTCAAATAATTTGTTATTTTCCAGCACAGTGAGCAGCTGTTTGGACACAATTCTTTCTAAAATCTTTGCAATAAAAGGCAGTTTTGAAATTGGTCTAAAATTTTGATGGAGGGAGGGATCTAAACCAGGTTTCTTTAAAAGTGGGTTCACACAAGCTGTTTTAAAATAATCAGGAACACAACCAGTAGATAGGGAGCTGTTAAAAGAGATCAAATGGGGCCCAACAGAATCTATTACTTTCATTAAAAACTTTGTAGGTATTATATCAAGTGGGCTGGAGGACACTCATTTGGGATACTGTTTTTAAAAGCTCAGACAAGTCGATGGGATAAAACTGGTTAAAACTGTCTTGTTGCTGGTGAGGGACCTCTGAGTAAGAGGCCACGGGGGTAATAGAGGCTCTGATTGACACCACCTTATTGGTAAAATAAGATAAATACAATTCACAGTCATCATTACTTCCAGCTGATGCACAAGGAGGGGTTGGGTTTACCAGCTGATCCACAGTCTTAAACAGAAACCTGGGATTGTGTTTGTGTAGTAATGAGTTCAGAAAAATAGTGTGTTCTCGCATCCTTAACCATGTTATTGTAGTTAATTAATAAATCCTTCAGACTGAGGTAATGGACCTGGAGACTGGATTTTTTCCATCTGCGCTCTGCTTTCCTGCATTCCCTTTTGAGGCTGCGAATGCTGTCATTTATCCAGGGTTGCTTACTAGCTTTAGACGTAGTTGTGTCAGTTGCATTAACATTGTTGGGGTCATCAACATGAATATTAAAATCGCCACAAAGAACAACTCTGTCATAATTTAAAACCAGAGTAGATAAAAATTCAGGAAGTTCTGATAAAAATCCTCCAGGCGGTTTTGGGGGGCGATAAATTATAACAAATATGATAGGTTGCAGCCCTCCAACTTTAAGAGAGAACTTCAAAGGAGTTAAATTCATCACAGCCTACTTGATGACAGTTAAAATTTTTCCTATACACGCTCACTAGCCCACCACCACGACCACTGACCCTCGGTTGACTAAAACAACCGAGGGTCAGTGGCCGTGGCAGCTGGTAAATCCAGTGTCTTAAAACAACCCTTCTGAGTGTATCATGAGTAACTCAGAACCACTTTGCTAGTGCTTGATACCCTTTTTTGTCATTTAAATTAAATAATGCTCATGATTAATACAGTTTTTAAATGCTGTATGGCAGCTTTCTACAGTTATTCACAAAACATCCTCATACATAAATGACAAAATAGGTCGATTTTCAACTGTCCCAAAGTGACATGTACGAGCATTGGGCGTACTGGACTGACCTAAGTCACATAACATTTAACGCGTCGTAAATGTTGTGAAATGGTGGTAGTTCGGTGAGGTTTAGGCAATAAAAAACACTTGGTTAGGTTTAGGAAAATATCCTGGTTTGGGTTAAAGTAAGTACATTACTTAAGTCATGTGAGGTAAGTCATCTATTATTTAACTTTAAATAGGACAACTTTGACTTTTTTTTCCACACAGGACTTGGTCTCTTGAGTCAAAGTCCTGGGTTTACTTGACGCATCCATCCACCCCACCATCCTCCTGACTTCTTCTGCCACCACAGGGTCGAGACAAAAAATGTAAATATGTGTCGTAATAAACTGCTGCATAATCGACCTTCATGCTGGTTATTCAAGAAGGCTGAACAGAGCTATATAGTGTATGTCTCAGGGTTAGCCTGAGTATGCTAAATGTGAGTGGAAGCAAGAAAATTTCAGCACCAGTAACATTCATTGTGAAGGTGGTGCTTAAGCTAAGGTGGGCATTCAGACAATCTTATGACTGTTTCAAAGTTCAAGAGCAGAACTACCAATGTGGCACCCAACAAAAACAATCAGTTAATCTGTAGCAATGAAGTCATTTTGCCAGAATTTTATACTTTAAATTTCCATTCAGAGTCTGTACCTCAGTAATTCAACATCAAATGTAGTCGGTTTAATCCTCTTAATACTAAACAGGACAATGCTAATGTTCATTTGCGCCCAGATTAACAGGCATTTAAACTCAAATGAAGGCTCCCAGAATAAGCCTGTGTTTGTTTTAAGCCCTCTTCCTTTTAATAACTATTAATAGATATCTGAGCAGCTGGTGAGCAGAGAGACTGATTCATTTGAATATTATGTTAGAAATGCAGCACTATATTTCCAGTTTTATAATTGCAACAACGATGTAAATAACAGCAATAATGGCCGCAATTAAAATATAAACACAAAAAATGGCAGATTTGAACTTAAGTGAGTAAAGATTAGAGTGAAATACACAGGCCATGCATGTTTCTCTCGGCCTGTTTGCTTTCCTCTTCCATTTCTCGTATCATCTTGTTTCCTGAGTTTCTCTCTCATACGCACAGGAAGAATGCAATAAACAAACAAACATCCTGCAGGAGTAAATGTATGTATGACTAAGATGGTACACACAAACACCCATGTTGTCCTGAAGGCTGACCGCCAACAACAAAGCATCACCAGTAAACAGGAGAAACAGCATTTCTCAAACTTGGAAAGACGCTGAAAGTCTGACACACTTTCCCTGTCAAAGTGTGTAAAAAACCCTGCTTTTTAAGTTACGCCTGAGGTGACACGCCTGCTAAAAATAAAGCAAACAAAGCTGTGATCTGGAATTGGTTCAATCTGCTTGATTGTGAGTAATGTCGCACTCTGAATATTAAGTGTCTCACACCTCCAATATTCAGAGCATCTTTGACTTTGGCTATGCAGAAATACACATGTGCATCCCTAGACCTGTTCTTATATGTAGCTGTTGGTTTTTCGTCATGTTGAATTGAATTTATTTCAGGATAACCTCTTGAGATGTATCATCTCATTTTCAAGGGGGTCCACGTGCATCTGTGCCTCTACCCAGTGGAAATTTTGCACCAAACAGTTGCACTAGCTCTTCATTAGTGGTCATGTAGTGCAGTGGTTCTAAACCTGCGGGGCGTAGAGCCACTTCAGGGGGGGGTCGAGGATTTTGAGCAGACATAAAGTTGCATGAATAGTGATCTGACGCTAACCTGAATTGTGTTTATTTTAATTACCTCTATTGTTTGATTGATAAAAATGAAATCCAGTTTTGCTTCGGTGGGGGTGGAGGCATGAACTGCTCTTGACTTTGAAGGGGGGCATGACAGAAAAAGTTTGAGAACCACTACTTTAGTGACGTGGCAGTACAAACACACACACCCCAGGCGCTGGAGTGGTACATGTTACAACTCATGACTAATTTGTTTCTGCATGTGTATCTGCAGGTTAAGTATGACTGCAGCAGCAGGTGTTCTAACAGGCTTGGCTAAGCTAAAACGGCAAGACTCTGCCCGTTCTCAGCACCGGCCCATACCACCTACATCGCCAGGCCTGGGAAACCCCAACCCAGAGGCTGCCCCCAGGTGATCATCTTAGTCTTCTTTTCATAAATTCAATGAAAAGAAGACTACTACAAACATTCCGGTGCCAGGTGTTAGGCTGAGTGTACATTTTTGTATGGTGGCTGTCGCTAGATAAATCTTTTTTTTTCTCTTTATACTTTTCATTTAGAAAGCGTAAAAGACGCACCGATGTTGTGGTAGTACGAGGAAAGCTCCGCCTCTACTCTGCCTCCGGGTTTTTCCTCCTTCTCGGACTGGTCATCTTGGCCATCGGTATCGGCATGGCAACACTGGGTTACTGGCCGCACAGTGAAACCATGCCCTCTGGCCCACCGGCCAAATTGGCGACTGGAGGAGGATCTAAGATAGGAGCTAAAACATCTGCCACAGGTGAAGGAAATGGAGCCAAGATGGCCGTCACAGAGGAGGACGTGGCTAACTCCAGCACGAGTCACAATGTGCAAGGTAAGTGAACCAATGTCTTCCTGAATAGAAAAGAGTGTGTTCCTGAAATACCTAAGATGCCTGAGTGAGTTTCTCGGGACTGTCTGTAAACACCTCTTAATATTAAACGTCTCACCCCCTCCATGTGTTCTGCATGTAGGTACGCCCTCCAAGCAGACTGGGGGTGTTCTGACGCGGTTCCTGGAACAGCATCTTCACTCCGAGAGGATGAAGATGCTCGGGCCTTTCACCATGGGCATTGGGATTTTCATCTTCATCTGTGCCAACGCCATTCTTCATGAAAACAGGGACAGGGAAACAAAGGTAGGGCTGAAATCAGAAAATCCACACACACACTCAAATACTGGAACATGCATCAGAGAAATCAAAAACTGGAGTTGCGAGAGGATTTTGCCGATCTACAAGCTGATTTTGTGCAGAAATTGGTTCTAGAAAAGGTTTTGAAGGAATATTTTAAACCGATATTTCAATTATAAAACACAAAACCCCATTGTCAATAGAATATGTAGTTAATATTCCTTCCCAGCTCCATATTTCTGTTCTTCCTCCGTACTCCATACAAAATGAGGGGCATGCACACTGCAGTCATCCACATTCATCATCCCTACATAACTAACATACAAATCATATTTCTGCCAACCTCCTTCCATCCTCATCACTGCAATATTCCTCTGATCACATTTCCTCTGCTCTTATGCCCTTCCCTTTGCTTCCTTGATTTGATTATTCCTCTCCTCCTCCCTTCCAGGTAATCCATGTGAGATCCATGTATTCCAAAGTCACAAGCATCCACAAAAAATAAAACTGTAGAATAAAATCCCTCTACTGCACACATTAAAAAATGTATCATATTTTTAGGAAGATTGAGGGATTTTTGTGTTGCCTCAGGGCAACGTTGTGCTATAAGGGTAACCACCAAGGAAAATCTCAGTTTTAGAACATGTGAAGTGAAAAGTAGCCCAACTTCACAACATTGCCATAAGACAACAAAGAGAAAACCCCTTAATTATTTCTATTTATATCTAATGTTTTTCTCAAAAACCTATCAAGTGTTTTTTTTATATTTTTGAAGTTATTTCTATTTAACCATGCAACCCTCCCTACTGCAACTACTAATAATTTATTTCTCTGCTGTACCAGATAATCCACATGAGAGACATGTACTCCACAGTCATTGACGTCCATCGCCTTAGGCAGAGAGAGCAAAAACAACACCATCACCGCAATAGCACCTATGCAAGAGAAGCTGGGGATCTTCGAGCCTTTGGAGCTGAAAACGCAGCACGACTGGCCAGCAACTCCCTCCTCGCATTCTCCTCTCGGGCCGGAAGCGGAGGGTCCACAGAGGAGGAAGAGGTGCTATTAGGGGACGAGGAGTTTCACAGACACAGGGGGCAGGCTAAGTTGGATTGTGGCTTTGCGGGGCTGCTGGCGCCGCTCTACAAGGATCGCCCCTTCTGCGGCCCAGGGCTGGGGTTCGCTCGCTCGGATTCAGTGCGCCACCAGTGGTCAGTGGACAGAGATGGGGAGAAAGGAGGACACCATGCCCGCTCTATTGTGTCCTCCTCTATCTCTGCATTTACTCTCCCTGTTATAAAACTCAACAACTGCGTTATTGACGAACCGGAGATGGAGGCAATTACTGAGGAGGACAGAGGAGGAAGTAGAACAGACAGAGAAAGGTCACAGCCTCTGAGCTCGATGGAGTCTCTGGTGATTCCTGTAGCATCTGTTGCTAAGGCCTCCAAACCGCCGAGCTTACACCGGAGTCACTCCGCCTCCTCCTCTCACTGCTCCTCTGTCTCCTCTTGTTCCCTATCCCCTGCTCCCTCCTCTACCTCAGGCTGCTGGCTCTCCCCAGGAGCAGCAAGGAGCGACTTTGGCTCCAACTCTTCTCTGCACATACTCAGCAGCCACTCCAAGTCTCTGGACCTGGAGCGCGGGCCGAGCATGCTCAGCGTGCACCCGGAGCAGCGGAAGCACCCCAGCTGGCCGCGCCTCGATCGTAGCAACAGCAGCCGCAGTAATGGTGGCAACCGGGGCAGCAGTAAAGGCTACATGCGGCTGGAGGACAGGGAAGAGCAAGGGGAGCGGCTGTTAGAGGTGTCACCGTCTCTGACAGTGACGCGCGACTACAGTAAGCGGGAGAAGCTGCTAATGATATCTAGGTCGCACAATAATCTGAGCTTTGAGCATGACGAGTTTAACAGCAGCACACTGAAGAGAGGGAGCTCTGAGACTCGATTCTGAAGACCCTTAACTAAAGGTTAAAGACACTTCTATCCTGTTCTGTAGATTACTCTCCAGACAGTAGTGACAGAGTGTACAGTGCGTTTGCGGCACACAAACTGTTGAGTTTAACAGCTGCACCCTGGAGAGAGGAAACTCGAACGTGGTTTCAAAGACACTTCACTGAGCATCAGGCTGGAGAGTAGTCAATAATGGACATTCTTGTTCATGCCTCATGTCAGTAAGACACTAGATGCCGACTGTACCAGAGGTGCTGTAGCTGAGCCTGACCTGTGACCTCTGTGGAGGGAGGGAAATGAAAAGAGAAGTTCATCATCTGTCTACTTTATACAGACATAGTTCTAATAAAGTTTTAAGAGGATCTCAACCCTGAGACAATGCTTTAGGATCGATACTGTTTCTTTGTAACAGGCTTTGAAATGAGCTTTTCTTAAAGTCTTACACGGTTTCATTCCAGCAGCCGCCGGCTAAGTCACCTCAGCGGGTAGGAGTAGCACAAGGTCAAATCTTTTTATCTTCTTTTAGGCCTAGGTACAACCCGAGGAATGAGCAAGAGAAGAAGCTCTAAGACATTAATCGTAATATTAATATTTGCTCGTGCGGCCCCTTTGAAAACAAAGTTTGCTAAATAGCGTTGTAAAGAGAGACTAAGACAGATCATTTTTAACTAATCTACTGGTCTTGGCATACTGCAGCGACAAGGCTCTAAAGTCGAAAAAGATAGATTTTAGTGGTAAAGTATTTGTTTGAATCAGAAATACTTTATTGATCCCCGAGGGGAAATTCTGTGCTCCTTGAAAGGTGGTTTATGTATGTTTGTTTCTGTCTCATCCTCAGATTGTAGCAGATGTAGAGTTCAACACAAAGAGCAAAGTAAGACAAAACCAGTTACTATAATATCAATACACTACAGGACAGAACAAGTTTAAATCTAGATGCCAGGCTGCGAAACACAATAATGGAGTCTGTGTTGCCCTGCAGTCACAATAACATTGCCCTTTCCCAGGAACTATAGAGAGAAGTTTTGTTGTGTCCTACTGAAAACTAGAATTAACAATCTGTGTCTATAGCTCTGCTACAAAGATTTAACTTTGATTTCACTCAGGTATGCAATCTATAATTCATATTAATTTTTGTCGAACTATTCACAAACCTATTCAGTATTAGCGAATAATATTGGAGTACGACCTAACGTATGATAAAGTGGGGTTGGTACTAATTATTTTCAGCACTGTCAATCACAAATTTACCAGAGGTCAAAGAAATTCTCAAAACAGTTTAACATTTCTAACAGTCAAAAACCCAAAGTTCAATTTACGAATAATCACATTCAAAGCATGTCCACTTGATAAATGACTTGACTGATCTGCATTGTCATTGATTCATTTTAATGAATTATGAACACATGCTTGGCTCTGCACTATTGAAAAAACAATTTATTTTGTGTTATCTTCATAAATCTAGGGGGTTATAATATTAAATGAAATGACATTTTTAAAAATCTATAACAGCTAGGGCTGAACGAATTTTAAAAACGATCTAAATGCAATTATTTAGAATGATATTGCAATTGCTATATAATTTGCAATATCAGAGGAAATGATCATTTTTACATAATTATTCATCAGAATCAGCTTTATTGCCAGGTATGTGTACACATACGAGGAATTTGACAAGTACTTTGATAAGTATACGTATTTTGTGTAGGAGTAATGACTTGAGGTAGGTGGATTTGGTATAGTAGGCCATTCGACTAATTGTAGAGCCCTAGTTACAGCATAGCTATCTGCTCTGTAAATCATATGTCTTGTGTTCCTCTTTGACAAAAAAAAAAAAAAAAAAACAGAAACCAAAAGGGAGAAATGTCTTCATATTTTCTGGTTACATTATAACCCGTACGGAGACCTTCTTTTGATACAGCCAATCAAATCTTGCATAAAGTAACGTCAATATACTATCATAGGCAGCCTGCTACACAACAACTACAGACTCAAAACAATATCTCACATTAGCTTTCTGGCTAAAGTCTCCTTCATATCTAACCTCCTAGCATAAACACATGTTCTACATCTTAGATGTAGAACGCGCAACCTAACAAGCATTCACAAAGTAAAAGTGCCCTGCTAATGTGAGTTTGAGGCTAGGTGGCTAATTGGTTGCTCAGCTGAAGCACATTCAACAGCATTTAAACGTACCTGCAAGTGTCACTTGGGTCTGTTATTCTGGTGTGCTCCTTAATCTGCAATACCACATTTCTGATATTTCCCCAAAGACATTTTCTTCCTATTAATAATGAAAAACGCTTAGCAAAAAAACACATTATTTTTGACTAGAAAAACGATGATTAAATGTGAGCCATGTTGTTTTCTGCTACAGTCCCTGTTTGACGACACATCCAGTGTTGCTTTTTATTTAAATATTAATTGTCACGTGATGACAGTTTCAGGCATTCAACTACTGAGCAACATAGTAAAAATGTCTCGGCATTTTGTTATTAACATGTTGACAAGGTGACATTGCTCTTGTCTGTCACTAAAACAGTATATAAGCTGATGACGCTTCCATATTGCTCAATATCTCTGTTTCAGTTTGTCAGCTGCCATACAATACCTGAACACATTTGTTAATGTAGTCAGAACACCACGTCGTGTGGACAATAAAACACCACGTGTGTTGAAATCGACAAGGCTCTTTTTAAGAGTGCAGGCATCTTGCCAGAGAGCTTCATTAACCGTTTTCCGGCAGTTTGAGTCAGTGTCAAATGTTATCCTCTCTCAAAATAAACAGTATTTTCACTGAAAGATGTTTGGTCCTAATGAGTGTGTTTAACCAATATTGATCCCTACACATGAAATTAACACATAGGAGCTCTTCTAGTGCCTTTCTCAGGGGTCAGTGGGGTCAGCAGCATCTCCTGGGTACAAACACACACACTCACAAACATGTACCAACGCATTGTCTGAGCCCACATCCTAACACAACTTCCCACATACAATTTAAGAATTCCTCCTTCTCTCTCTCTCTCTCTCCCTCCGTCTCTCTACATATCCTGCATATGACATAAGCAAAGGTCTGGATGAGTCACCATCAATTATCATATGCTCTGCAGCTCTTTGGGAACAACACACAAATAAACAAACGTGCACACATGCGAGGACCAATGATTTTACTTACATGGAAGCATGCAGACATATTCATTCTCAAATGCAAATATAGACACACAAGCACATGATTACACACAAATACACACTTACAATGCAATTCAAAAGCAGAAGAGGGATGCTGTCTCATCCTCTGTGCTACCGAGGGCACAGATGATAATCCTTTTTCTGAAGGCAAGAAACATTCAGGCAGCAGAGATGGATGATGTCGCATTCAGTTAACATTAAACAAGTAAACTAAAATTACCTCGTCCTGTTGAGACTTTCCTTCAGTCTCTCGTCGTACAAGTTGAAGTTATTAGGACACAACAATGACGTAAACAAGACTGTTTGCCTGAAAGTAGCATCAAAGTCAAATTAGCAAGAGCAAAAAGGCAATTGGGATACAGATCTTGTAACTACATTTTGGTTGCTAAGTGCATCTCCAATTAAGACAGATGGCGGAGTGATTAAAGAAATTGAATCAAATGTTCCAAATGTTTTATTCTGTGCACCGAAATACAGCCAGAGAATCTAAATGCAAGTGCCTTTCCTTGGTAATCCTTCATGCCTCAACAGGCGGGGTACCAATATAATTTTCCTCTTTTTGGAGGGACACCGTGACCAAACAGAGCACAGCATGCATTATCTGGGTATTTGTTCAATCCCAAGGCGATGTGTTACGGAGAGCCAACTCGCGCCTTCTCACCTCCCCGGCTGTGTCACACAGATCAGCTAGCTGAGGAACTGTGAGTCTGTTTAGGAAAGACTCAGTCTTCAACATTCTGTAAATTACACGATGTGCAGGAGGCTACAGATATCTATTAAATGTTCCATTGATGGACTGTAACATCTAATACATACATCTATTAAAAGGCTGGAGAGAAGATTTGTCATTTTGTTAACATGATAAACAAAACCAAGAAGGAATTTAATGGATCAGCAAAGGCATTACAATTCATAGTCTGGGGACCTTGAATGTCTTTAAAAATGTGTGGCAATTCATCAAGCAGATCTTGAGACAGTTCAGCCTCCACTAAATTAGTGGATTGACCGACCAACCAACTGGATAAGTAAAAATGTATGGGAATCACCAAAGTCAGTAAGATTCATCCTCTCACATCATGAATATTTGTACACAATCCCATCTGTCCAGTAGTTATTGAGATTTCACCGTTAAGTTAGCTGAACGGCTAAATGAACTAATGGTTGTTGAAGAGTGTTGGACAGGTAGAGAGAGGTCACCATTCTAACACATCGTAGCTTTAAAGATTTGTGTCTTAAGTTTGAACGAATGAGCTTGTAGCTGAATGCCAAAGACAGGTTATGGAGGTCAAAAAGTAGCTCTCAAGTATAGAGAGATAGACTAACGCTTTGTTGGTTTTGGTCTTTTTGTGGGACTTCAAATGACAAATATAGAATAATAGCAGCCTTACAATTTAATTTGCAAAAGGCCATTCACCTTAAATCTCTTACATTTGCTGTTCTATACACCTGTATTCGAAGGGCTTCCTCCAAGAAAACATGCACAAAGAGTGACTCTTTTCACATTTACCAGAGCAGCAATAGCAGCTTTCAAGAAATAGAATAAGAACTGGGTAGTACACTGAGCAGTGGAAACCACCAAGGTTGCACAGACAAAGGAAAAAGTACTGGCCACAGAAACTCTGTCTTCATAACACTCAGGGAAAAATATAAGTCTGGACAGACACACTGTTAAAAAAAAACTCCATAAAAAAAGACAAAAATGTCAAAATCATTGTTGTGCTGAAAGTATTTCAACATCAGGAGTGAAGGAAGATAAACTGGTAGGTAGTGAAGACAAGATAAACACTAATGTGGCTCACGCTTGCAGACAAGGGTGTATACACCAGTCCAAGTCAAGTCTTTGAGCTGGAGGCCAAGTCAAGTCTCAAGTAACTTGTGTTGTATCCCCTGCTGCTCTCTATTCAGGCTGCTTATAAAACTGCATAGCTACAAGGGATTCTATAACTATAATCTGTTTTTCCACTTACAGAACACAGCTATGTAATGTGCAATGCAACTAATGACAGCTTATTAACTACTGTAAGTTGACTCTCAAACCACTGTAACGTTAACTAAATAAAACTGTAACCTTACATGATCAGATCAACAATAAACCTAAACATTTTCACTTAAAGAGCACAACTATGTAGTCTAATGTACAGTGCCTCCACAACTAATCAGTTTATAAAATACTGTAAGTCAACACATTCCCCAGAATCTCAAACCCAGTGTAACATAACTAAATGAACATTAATAATTAACGTGATGGCAGCCAGCGGGACGTAAATGATTACGTTAATCGACTACCACAAGTAGGCGAGCAAACAAACAGTCATCACGAACGATAGTCGGAATTAACATCCCGTAGTTTGTAGCTAAAACAAGAAGCACACTAATGTTGGATGGCCAATGCTGAACTAAACATGTTTACCTGAGCTCTCAGACAGAGAGAGGATTGATTTTTCATATATTCATTCATTTCTTTATTCTCTCATGGTTATAAGAGGGTTTAATTTTGTGTGTTTATGTATTTTTTTTATTTCTTCTGTGCATTGTAGATTGTGAAAAACATTGTGTGTGCGTGCACGTGTGTGTGTGTGTGTGTGCGTGTGTGTGCCCTTGTGTTTTTGCCAATAACAACAGCAGAGATGTGGGCAGTTTACTGACATAATCAGCTAATAAACAGACTAATTGCTGTGACACATCTGGAGGGTAAACTGAACGGTTTGCAGTTTAGCCGAGGAGAATGGCTTCCGGCAGGGCGAACTGCATTAGCACAGCTGCCACGGATAATAACAACGCATCGTGTTTTGGTGATGAATTGGTAATGGAAGTGAGTCATCCAGTCAGTAACACACTGGTTTCTAAAGCGGTGAACGCTCCATTGTTATAATTCTCTGATAAGGAAGAACATTAAATGTGTATTTTATCAAACCGGATTTCTTATTACCTTCCCCGAATGTCCAGTCAGCATTCTGTACTGCAAGCCGTTCTGATGTTGAATGTGCTTTTATGTGCTGCCTTAATCACCGCTCGAAGAGAATCTGTAATTTCAAAGGTCATTTTGTTCCAAAACCATGGCTACAGGTTCAGCTGAATCTAAGTAACCCCTTCAGTCACTGCCATGTTGTTATTGTCATGTTGACTCTTCTCCCAGTCTTTCCTCATCCCTCTGCACTGACTCTGTGTAATTAAGCAGAAAACTGAGGCTACATTCACACTAATAAGTTTTCATTTTAAAATGCTTAACATTTGATAGGCTTACACCTAGCGTCCACACTGCTCTGACATTTTCGAACCCCTAAATCGGAGACTTCTGAAAATGCTGCTGACCCCATTTTAGTTTGAAAACTAAAGCGATTGCGTTTTAGTCTGGATGGGCAGAAACGGAGACTTTTGAAAACGATGACACACACACCCACGCTCTCTTCCTTTTTGGGTCTTATCAGACACGACATGTCCTTCCCTGATTCGCCACGTCCCTATCCTGTAACGGAAGAAAACAAGCGATCAGCCTTGATTACCAGTAGTTAATTTAACATAGATAACAAATAACAGACGTTGCTTACCTTGTTGTCTATGCTACCAGCTGTTGTGCAGTTAAAGAAATGCATGCAAAGTGTACATGAATGGGGATCTGTGTTTTCACGCATCTTAGTATGAACGGAGATTATTT